CAAATTAGTTAATGTAGTACCTATTCCCGTTTATATGGCTATCTCCCTCTGCAAGTCTATACATATATGTGTGAATCGGACAGAAGTTCTGTGCCACTCAAATACATCAATACGACTGCGGTAGTATTGAGTAGTGCAGATTTATAGTAACAGCCGACGGTAATGTGAATCCCGTTCACATCCTTCCTTGTGCAGTGCCTGTTACACTCATATGACTAATTCTGTAGATCACCTGTGATAATCAGAAGTCGTTTCCATTATGAAACTAAGAAAAACAATGTTTCAGAAATCAGTAAAGTGAATATCAAAATTAAGATGTAAGACCACTGTACAAAATCGATGAAATTTTCTCACCTTGAATAAGACTAAACGGAAATGCACAAAATGATTGCAATTATAATTAGTTGAAGTGGACGTCATGGATATAGGTAGAAGGGTAGCTGAGAAAACTGCAACTAATGCCCAACTCGTATGCTTCTACTAAAATTGCAATAATTTTGTCTGATAATCCTGACCCAACTTCTAAAAAACAGTTCTTAAAATGAACCTGCAGGCCTTGCTGCACTTAATTTTCAATGCAATGCCAGACTTCTCCAAGACCAATAACTGTTGTGTCTCACCACTGATCGTTTCTTCAAATCCAGTATTAATATTCATTTTATCAAAATAAGCCCATTCGAACTACTCATCTGTTTTTCTTTTGTGTGCACTTGGGTGAGAATAAACGATCGTAGTAACTAGTGCATTAGAACTGCCTACGTATGCCCTAGGAAAGTATGTAGTTGTTTTCATACCAGTTGTGATCTGGCAAGTTGCATATTTTGAAAATTATGGCTGAACTGTGCTCGTAAATTTTTCCTTGATATTTGAAAGACTTCAGCATCAGATGGTGCATCCGTTTCGACCTCGAGCAGCAGTATCAAGCAACCAATCAAGAAACGCCCATGTTTCCAAGACACTATGACGGAGAGTATCCTTGACAATCATGTCAACACAACACCTACTGGTAAGTACTTTACTCATACGCATTATTGTTTACTGTATCAGATATTCATTCAAACAGAAACTGCATTACGCTCTACATCACTGACTTTCGATAACTACTTCCTCGGCAGTTTTCTGTGGTTTTCCAACTTTTGTCGCAGTTGGATAACAAGACTGAAATAACTAGTCTGGTGAGAGCTTTCTAAACTAATTTAATGTGATCGCATGCAGGTGATTAGTTCCTGCAAGCCCTGATATTTGCTAAATAAACAAAGCCTACGACTTAACATTACAGAATGTCGTGGTGTTCAGTTTCATTTCTATCAGAACCAGCAGAATTAAGACCAGTTGACTCATCAGCGCGAATCCATGCACAAAATCGCACACTCTAGAAAAGTACACATGAAACTAAGGAAAAAATGTATTTCACCTAACTTTGTCAGGAAAGTTAGTGACTCAAGCTCTTTGACTTCATTGGAGGACTTTCCCTTCTTACCTAACACTACGCGTAGCCTCATTATGACTAACCATGGTGCTCCGCTCAAGATGATTGTGAATGTGGTCCTCATGTTAATAACTGCTTGTCATTTCTTACCTCCCGCTTTCAGCGACATCTCAGCTAATGGATGACTGGATATCACGCCTACACCAGTATATATATATATACGACTTGGGCTGTACTAGGAGGAAACTTAGACGGGGTTTTGATGGCGGGCAGTTGTAGTACAGCTGCTTATTAATTGTCTGTATTCTGTACGATGTTCCAGCTTTCTCATCTTACGTATTAGTTCTCCATCGTCCTCTAATCTCACTCAACTTCCCATAAATGAAGAAAGGAAATATTACCCACCCAACTTCCACTTGCGTTTCCATGCAGTTGGCATACCCCTATTGTTTGACGACTAATCATACTACCTTCCTGCTCAAGCCTCTCTGTGGGCTGCAGGATTCAAATTCGCGACTTAGTGGTTGCTAGTCGGGCGCCTGAAACAGTAAACAACAGCTTAACTGACTATAGGTATTTTAGTGCCCATTTCCCTAAATGAGCTTAGACGGTTAACAGGTATTACCTATTGCTGATGCCTACACTTTCCTCATCCACTAGTACCAGAAGTCGTTACGAAAACTATTCGTAAGGTTTCATTTGATAAGCTCTCGACGCTCTTCAACGTCAGGAGCCTACAGGAACCAGTCAGTCCGGACAAAGCTTCAGATACTTAGTGACATTCTCTAACTTTTGCCTACAGCTTACCAGCAGCCTTTAACATTCTCTGAAGTAATCTAGGTATGATATCCGGATTCCTAAGGCGCGTAAAAGTCTCTCAACTGCTTGTTTTCCGTGTCCGTTCATCCACCGACATATATGTACACGAATGAACAAATGATTGAGGTTCAAGTTTATGTTTTAGAATGAACGGCAATCCTCTTCACCTACAGATGGTTTACTTCTTACCGTCGTTAGCCTTATATGGGTGGTCGCCAGATAAAATACTGTCTATGTGCGTGAAATTATTGCTGACCAGTGATAAGTAGTCACCTGAATAAATTTGAAAAAGGCAGTCACCATTGTTTATTCCTCAGTACAAGCCGTAACAGATGCTCCAGTATACTTTATGAGGAGTTTCAAATTTCCTTCTTCAGTGTTTCGGCTTTGGCAACAAAGTAGGCAGCTTCTGATAAAACTCATCGTTCCCTTCCGAAACTGCTGTTAGTTCGTGGAAAGATGTCCATGGAAAGCACTATCTTATCAGTATAGATTCATTAAGCCAGACAACGTGCACACAGCTATCCAGTGGGATGCAGTCGAGTAGGGAGTTTTCAGCTTGCGATTGCAATACTATCACAGTAGCAGCAAGTCTACGAGGACTAAGTAGAGAATCAACTAATCCCCAAAAGATATCATGAAGATTAAATTAGGTTGCAAATAGAAATCTTGTTCACTTATGTTGTTACTTCCTAGCTGCTGACACAGCAGGTTATATTAGTCAGATTTTCGCCCTTCGGCAGATTGTGGAACATGAGCCATATTTCTTGACCCGAAGGCTGAATTTGATTCCGTCAGTCGAGCGGTATTATGACAGCGTTTGCCAGTGAAGGGATTGCGGAGGAAGTACATCATACTGACCAAAGTACTCTGCTCACACTCATGCAGCTGTGTAAGGGTTCATGGAGAGTTTTCATCTGAAGTGAAGACAACCAGTGGTGCCCGTGACAGATGACCACTGTCCCCATTCCTATTTAAATTCATCATAGATGTACTAACAGAGTCATGGTCGGATGCATTCACTCTTTGTGATTTATCACATCTTCCATATTACTCCTCTTTTCCCCTCACACTTCTCTTTACTGTCTTCTCTTGCATTGTGTGCTACATGGAGTGTGGCAACTCGAACTGCTGCACATTTGTGCAAAGTTCTACGTTGAAGTCAGTGAGTATCTGTCATGGATATTACTTTAACCAACAGAGACAATCTAGGTTTGAACACAGGTAATATTATGGTATCCATAAAATATCGTATCGATTTAGTCCCCTAAATTGACAAGATGGCGTTTTTCCATTTCTGAACTAAACAGGATTCTCATTGCCTTGAAACTTACTTTCAAACGAGATTTTAATGACCTGGGAATTTGTATTTCTTCTTGATTTTAAGTCGTTTGGAAAATGATTTTAGCACTTCATATGAACTGCTTTTACATAGTGGTTTGCAATGCGTATTTTCTTCTCAAGTTTGAGTTTGTTATTGTACATCGAAAGTGTATGGTTTTCCGATCAGAGGTAAAGACGATTTTTTCCTTGTAGGCACTCGCAAATCCCCATCTGGGGAAGCTGATCAAAGTCAACATGATGAAACATCTAACACCGAATCAACAACACTAACGAATAGTGTGTTTCCCGTAGGCTCACTCAGTCCACCTTCAGAAATATACGATGCCTCCTTAGCGATTAAAAATGCCGTAAACCACAATGATTTGGCAGATTACGATGCTACATGTCGAGATTCTTCTATGCAAGACCAACCACAATTGCCAAAAAAGCTGAGTCCGTAAGTTTATATTGCACGAAGCATTTTTCTTTGGTTAAATAGGATGTCTGAATTGTAAAAGTTTGAGGTTTGAGAATCAAACAAGATATGGCTATTGCGATTACTAGTTTGTAAGGTAGTGCAGATGTATATATAGTTGTTCCCAACTGAGACTTCAGGAAATCTGCACTCGTCGAGGACAATCTAGAATCTGTGTTCAGCCGAAAATGTATGTAGACGAAAAAAACATTTAGTCATCAACACTTATACAACTAATCCTACCTTCTAACAACATGGATTGTAGTTGTATATCTTGATTTATTGCACCATACGATTTTGAATGAATGTTGTTTGTTTGCCTGAATACGTGTATTTAATTGGGAGGTAATGATGTTTGGAAAGTGTTTGATTTAATTGTCGTTATGAAATTTCACATTGAAAGGAATAATTAAATTTCAGGGAATGCCAAAGGAAGAACGTGAAATTATATGAATACATTAATTGGCTATTTGGATGTAACCAATGTTATTTGTCTAATACTTTGTGTTGGTGCTGACTGAATTCTCTCAGTCGGGTTTGCAGTATGGTCACCAAGCTGGGTGACCTGCAATTACCTTGCACTTCTAGTTGATATCAGTTGACTTGTGTCGCTGAACTGTGTGCCTTTCTTGTGCGAGGTGTATTTTCTACCAAAATGTTATGTAAGGAAATTTTCGTGATAATTTCAAAAAAAACTTTTATTCGTGTTTCGCCTACTAGATTCGTCTCTGCGTGTAAGATTACGGTATTTTGGCTACACCATTGAAACGAATTACAACAGTTTCCAAGCTACACTCCTAAATCCATAAATCCCTATTCTCTGTGTAAATACGTTTGTGAAAATATTTCATATATATTTTACTCGGGTGTAGTTACATTTCATTGAAACAATTTTCCCAAAATTTCGAAAAAAATTTAAACCCTTTATTAAAATGGGTTCCTGTTCGTTCCTAGGCACCAGCTTTTATACAAAAGACGAAGCAGGCGCATCGCCGCTCAGTCTGCCCCACATGAAATTATTAACAAGTTATCGGGAAGTGGTTTTAAGGCGAAACCCAAACACCGACCTTCCTGTCGTCACTTTCGCCCTACTGTTCGAACCAAGCCAAAGTGCGACGATACAGCTGACGACGTAAGTTCTCCATCTGGCTTTCTGGAGACAGAAGGATCTGAAAATCCTCTTCCTTCGACGTCTGTAACCAACGGTAAGTTTGTTTGGGAATGCAGATAACTTGATCTTTCAGTGAATTAACTTGGTATGTATACATGTTTATTTTCCCAGTGGCGTATTTTAATAGCTGGGCTATTTCATTCACCTATTCCCCTTTATGAATTTGAGTGAAGCAAACAACGGTTTCAGCCGAATAAGATAATTTTGTTTCGTCCGTTTCTTGACAGCTGGATACAGCCTGAAAAATTATTAGGCATGTATGCAGAGGGGTTTTAACGTACTTGTGAAGGCAATATGATGTCAGTTTATAGAAGGCTGTAATCATAAATTGTACTCCAAGGCATTTAGAAGACAAATGCATTATTCAAATTTATCAAAGGGACTAATTTTTCTAACTTATATATAACTTTAAAAAATCAGATGCTTCGTTCATTAACCTGCAAAGAAGATTCCTAATCATTCGTTAATGACTGGCTGCATATACTGTGAATGATAAATTTTAGTTAGTTGAAAGCCTGGGTCATAATAACGTTTCCAATCAGTTCATATTGTTATTTGGTGTAACTCTGTATCATAAGCATCCTGATTCATGAGACCATCTTTATTATTTGTTAGCATTTTGGACTTCTCCCTGTACAAGTGCTGGAATTTAAACCGCTACTAATTGATGTGTAACAAGGATGTGCTATTCTGATTTGATAATACTGTCTACCGTCAAGTAGATGATATAGCTATGGTTAATCCACTAGGTCCTGTATTAACAAACACCATGTTTAAATGTGCAATCGACGAAACAGCTTATCGTCGATGTGTTGATAACGCATTCGTGACAGTGGAACCTATGCATCCTATCTACTTGGACCATTCAGTGATACACATGGAAATAGTGAGTTTACTGTGGCACATAAAGGTGAAAGAGCTGACTTCCTTCGGTCTTCTCCCGTTGTCAGTGATTGGTGTTTGGTGGTATTGGTTAGCTTTCTTTATCACCTTGGTCTTCTTAATGCTTATTTGAAGTCTTGTGTGTTATCTGATTTTTCTGCTCACTCGCTGGTATACGACTGTAGAGCTTCTTGTTTTTGTGACTTATACTATAGTTATAATGTTGTAACAAGAGCATAAACTAAGCCTTTTTTGTATCTGTTGAGAGGAGCGTATCTATTCTGAAAAGGATTTGCTGATGGCTATTTCCCCATTAAGTCTTTGATAAATGTAATTTTAACACTTTTCGCAACACATTAATCCTTAACAGACCAGATATCTGCAAATTAGTAAAACGCTCCACTGTTTTATAGTATTAATAACCTAAGATACAAACGTTTTTCTTCCACCGTCACTCCTCTACCAGATATTTGCAGAGAGATCATCTCGGTATGTATCCAAAGCTCACACTCAGGAAACAGGTCGATATGTGCTGTTCAAAACCTCTGGCAAGCCTTGGAATAAACGCAAGTTGATGGTCTTAAGCATTACATGTTTTACTCATTCTTTGTTCAGTTCAACATAGGGCTATTCAATGATCCCGAAGACTTTGAGGAAAGTCGAGCAGGATTCAGACTACTCTGCAACTCAAAAAATAATTAGAAAGGCATCTATGTATGAGATGAATCATAAGTACCTTACAATTATTGCTTGTCATGATCTAAAATAATAATAATAATAATTTGCTTTATTCCAAAACAGTACTTGTGATACAGAATGGAATTCCCAGCATTTTTTACTGCAGTATTGCATCCAGTAAGTACATTATCAATAAATAGAATTCTACATAGATTGAGGAAACCACAGTTCATTATTACAACAATACATTGGCATGTCAGTAGCAAAGGTAAAGGTGAAATAGTGTTTGAAGGTGTTAGAAAGTAGGAGCTTTCTTATTAACTGGCGTAAGCGAGAGAAAGAGACAAAGCAGCACATAACGGACAAAGAAGAGAGAGAAAAGGAAAAGAAAGGAAGAAAATGTTGTACCTATTGATGATGTGGGTTGGAAAGACGAGATCCAGTTGTACTACTGACTATTTTATGAGTTATAGGTGTCACGCCTAATGCTTTCTTCATCACACAGAACACGAACTAAGTAGGGTATGGTTGAGTTTTTGTACTTGCTGGTGCGAGCATATAGTTTTCTATATTGGCTTCCGGTTTTACCTGATGAGATGCAAGGGGAGAGTTGTGAGTGAAGAGGGTGGCGTGAGTTAGATAAAATGGATTTGGCCCATTTTTCACATGAGTTCATTTGCCTGTCAACCAGAATATTAACAAGCTGGTTAAGTGGCACGTTGCTTACCCTGCTGACAACATTTAACATCCTGCGTAATATGTTATAGTCTTTCTTCAGTAGCCCGGGAAAAACCAAGGGGGAACAATAGAGAATAATAGGCAGAATGCGAGAGTTAACGAATTGTAGGAGTAAGGGTTAGGTTATACCAGAATGTTTTAACTTCTTAATGTAGAAGGTAAGGCGGAATATTTTCTTAGAAATTGCTAAGATATGAGACGACCAGGGGAGATCAGCAGATAGAATGACACCTAGTATTTAATTTCCGATTTAGTTTCTATTTCAGTGCCGTCTATGTTGCATACCTCGTAAGAGCCAAACAGTTTGTTTAGGTCGGATTTATGCCTAAAGGTGAAAATGACCGTTTGGCATTTGGAGGGGTTTAGGGTAAGACCATTTTCTTCGGACCACTGGCTGATCTCTGACGGGAAGCCATTAAGGTTTGAGCAGTCACTTTGACATTTGATAGGCAAAGATGCAGGCAGATCGTCAGCGTATTTGACAAAATTAATGTCATTTGAAGATGGTAAGTCATGTAGAAAGAAAGAAAAGAGAAGTGGGGAGAGTACAGCGCCTTGGGGGACTCCGGCTTCAGTGAGTACAGCATAGGATGATTTACCTTTGTATACGGTGTACTGCATTCTGTTAGAGAAGTAGGAATGCAACCAGTTAGTGACCCAGGACTCAGTTTATGTCAAAGAGAGCTTATACATGTTGTAAGACGAGAGACACTAAGAAATTCTAAGTTTTGTTGTAACTCAGATTCTGTAACATTGCACCTGGTATATTTAAAATAAACACCCTATTCCCTATCTAATGGACATGTGACTGAGGAAAGCCACAAAGTCTTCGGAAAGAATATTCTCTGTTCACTAGTCAGTTAATTGAATTTTTCAAATTTTAATAAGGTATCACATCCTCATCTGCACTCTTTATTCTCCTGAATCCACATACCCGATTACAAAGGTGCATGAAGAATTCAAGCAGCACTGATAGGTATAATTTCTATATCTGAAGGACATCTTTTAAAATTTGTATAGCTAAAATTACTTGTTCGGCTTGATGTTGCATCAGATACGCTAAATATATGAATTCGGTGCCTGTGTACCACACATTATATAACCTTATCAAAGTGAGATGACGATTCTTCCCAACGAAGTAGCTTTGAGAAGCGGCTTTCGCAGACGTGTTTTTCGATAGAAATCTACAGTTTCAGTCGAACTTATCCGCCACTTTGGTTGAAATTCCTCATGGTAAATTATTTTGTCGATAAGTTGTAATAAAATTGCGTTATATGTTTTCTAGATTGATAGGAATTCTCATTTGCTGACTAGTCATGGTGGTGTCCGCGTCATGTAATCTGACTGCGACACACTCTTAGCATATTGGCTGCAATGATCAGTGTTTCAGGCGGACTGTGTCAAAATATCGCTATAATGAGGAGGATTGGATAGTTGGAGGGTAATGTGATCTACACAAATAATCTACTATATGTAGAGGCTGCACCTTCCGGCATAGTATCATTCAATGAAGACTTCACGTCTGAGGACATCACTGCGGCCTATTTTCGTGTGAAGAACAGTACTATTTGACAAAAGGAATGCTATAAGTACATGGAAATCACCTATAAATGCTAACAGAACCTTCTGTGGGAACAGAAGTTATCATGTAGATGTGTCTTACTGTACACATGTTTGGACAGGAATTATCGTAAGTTGAGAGGTTACCTCCAAGTGGATTTACTGTATATATACTCTCTGGTGCAATGGATTAAATATATAAAAATATCTCAAATTTATTAATATTGTGCAATTGTCTGGTAGGATCACTGCTGGGCCTACAAATGTGGGTGGTTCTCATTATTAGTGCAAGTGCAGTGCAGTGGAGAAGGCGATTACTCTTTTAATTTTACTCATCGTTTCAGTTTATACTATTATTATTCACATGTATTGTGTCGATTATGGGAACTGAATCTAGTCAGCTCTAATATTATCAATCTGCTATCTGTTATACCATTCCCACTGACACTGTATACTTAATGCTGCAATAACTTTGATCACCAACAGTTGCTGAAATTTACACTCACATAAAGCAGTATCACGACTGAATGTCTAGGTTGTATTATATGGCGTTGTTATCCTCATCAACATAAAGGGTCTGTGTATCTTTGAATATTTTAAGTGTTTCTCTATGCTGTCAACACTGTGCATGGCTGTTTAGAGTTGAGACATGTTCAGTTTATACTTGATTGCTATAGTTTCCTAAATATGGGAATGTAATTTCGGTGGGATTCACGAAACCATGTTCACTAGACATTGCTGAGATTGTGGATTAATTTCTAAGTTACGCATTTGAAATACTTCTTTTAGTGCAAGTGTATTTATTGTGAATTTGATCTGCAAGTAATCTTGATGAGAGAATAATACCTTAACAGTATGGATTTTCCACAGATTGTCTTGAAATTCGCGTATAATCCTCTAATACTGGAAAACGCATGTGGTCTATTCATGCATACAGCGTCAATATAAAAACCAGATATAGACTACAAATACTTTTATTTGTATGAGAATTTTGTTTAGTATTAACAGACTCAGTGTATTCGTATCGCATATTAGTATATAAAATTATCTCTCATAACTTCATGTTGTGTTTTATTTTTTAGTTCGTCGAACATGAAATCAGCGGAAATGTCAATCGGTCAAACTGATGCTAATACTCCTCATCAAAATTTCCTTTTGTAAATTAATGAAATGTTTAATATACTCTTAATTTCTACTTCTTCTGGACTTCCTCAATGAGTCGCTATACTTTGTGCTTTTGTAATATGTGAATTCGGTCTACTGCGTGTTAGGCCTAGTTAGTGGAATTGAGATTTACTATAGTATTATGAAACTTACTTTAGTCATTCATAAGATTTCGCTTCTGTTTCTGTACAATATCACGTTGTAAAAACTAAGTAGGATCTAGCAAGTTGAATAATAATTCTGCACTGTTCGACACTCTAAAGATGCCTTATTTAGCCAGTTGCGAGTCTGTATACTGTTAAACGCCAAGTATGCAGTTCAAGTAAGTGTAGTAACTTAGTGTTGATAGCTACTTCATTATTCTGTTAATATGCATTGACATCATCAACTAGACTGTTTACCTGGCGACGAGCTGAGAGACAATTTTTATTTATTAACAATACGCCGTTGAATCATGTGTTGTTATCACACAGAGGTATAGAAAAAAGAAATTTAATGGAACTCTAATGAGTATAAATGTGAGGGAGAACGGATAGTGATAAGGATGAAATATAAGGGTTGATTAGATACGTGAGATCACACAAAGTGAATGCATCTGTGTCATTGACAATGATTTGGAGTCACATCTCTACCTAACACTATACGTTTAACCCCATTATTACTCACCATATATTGCTAATTAACACAAGGGATAGGGCACAGACACCTACGACCAAACACCAGTAGTATTTTCATATCTCCCAAATTCAACGGTCACTTCTCACAACCTAGGTGGATAAGATCATCAACATACTCTCAGCTGACGTAGTGCCTTCTCAAAAAACCCGTTTAGTGTTTCCTCAATGAAATTTTGAACTTCCTACCTTATTAAGTCCATCACGTTGCTCTAATATCAGTATCAAGCGGCATTTC